AAGAGCTTTCTGGTAATTAGATCGGAATGTAGAAGTTCATGATTCAGTACTTGACTGGGCCTGATCCAAAGCCCATGTAAGTTAGTAGATGGTTCCCTGGACCTCACTGGGCTTTGGATCTAGCCCTTTAACACCAAGATGTACTCAGTGAGTTAGCCAACACAAGCCCAGGGTGATCTTTCAGTAAGCATATGTTGAAGTCCCACAGCAGGAAGAAATGGGAAGCAGTGCAAAAAAGCCTTTTTTCTGCTGCTCCTGACACATCTAGACTCTGGTGTCTGCACCTACAAGAAAGAGGCAGAGAAGCAGCAGGTATTCTCATGTGTTTATATAAACATGTGTGCTTGATTATATTCCGATCCCCACCCACCATATGTCACTTGTCTTTTTTAAAATGTAGGCTCCTTAAGCAGGAACTGGCTCTTCCTATGTCTGTATACAGCACCTAACACAATGGGACCCTGATCCTGCCTGGGGCCCTTGAGTGTTACACTAATATAAATAATAATTAATAATACGGTGAGAATTGTTTTTCAAGCTTTGGAAGCCTTTTCCAAAATGATGCAAACCAAAGCTCTTCCAAGTAGCATTTAAAAAAAAACAATACAAACCTCTGAGCATGCTTTAGAGAAGATTCTGTGTCAGAAATAATTAAATATATTTCTGCAGCCAAAGGGTTTCCAAACTATGGGACTTTCTACAACATTGGAACCTGAACAGAGACAGACCAGGATCCTGCAAGGCATAGCCACCTTCCCTTGGATAACAAATGCCAGTTTCCTAGGTTTGTGGGAATCTATGGATCTAGTCCAGAATGATTCCTGGACACACACGGTTTGAAAACACCATTCATACTGTCTTGTGTCTCTGTCCTGGGTGTCCTGGCGCACGTTGTTAGGATTATCTCTTTATTTTTTCCTTATATTTGTTTCCAGGAGATGAGAGAGAATTTATAAAGGTTTCCACTTTCTGAAACCAAAATAATAAACTGGAAGGTGCTGTGGCTTGATAAGTGCATTTGGGAACAGGCAGGTTTATTCCATACAGGTATATGACTCATCTGCCTTTATCTGTAGGTCAGTGGGAATTCTTCGAAAGCGACAACAAAGTAATTTGGCCATTTCAAAAAGATATAAGAAAATATTTTTATTCAAACAAAGGGCAATGCAGAAAGTATTTTGCCTCATGCCAGCTTTGCTCAGTGGTTGCTATACTTGATAATGGTGAGGCTCTGATAGATACTTAGAAAACCCATAGTTTAAATTCATCTGAAGTCTTGTTATCAGTAGGAAAAGCTAAATAAGAACATAACAGCCATGCTGGGTCAGACCAATCAGCTAGCCCAGTATCCTGTCTTCCGACAGTGGCCAATGCCAGGTGCCTCAGAGACAATGAACAGAACAGGCAATCATCGAGTGATCCATCCTCTCTTGTCCACTCCCAGCTTCTGGCAATCAGACACGAGGGACACCCAGAGTATGGGGTTGTGTCCCTGACCATCTTGGCTAATAGCCATTGATGGCCCTATCCTCCATGAACTTAGCTAATTCTTTTTTGAACCCCGTAATAGTTTTGGCCTTCACAACATCCCCTGGCAATGAGTTGCTGGGGTTGACTGTGCATTGTGTGACGAAGTACTTCACACAGTGCACTTCTCAGGAGAACTGTAATCTCAAGTGTTTCTGACAGCCCCAAGAATTCCCTCTATATTTCCTCTTTTTCCTCTTTGCCTCCAACCCTCCAAAGCCTCACGATGCTGGAACTTTCTGTCTGACAGAAAATGGCTGGAGGTGCCTGACTTTTTGGCCCATTGCCAAAGCTCCGTTCATCTGGCAGAGGGGGACACCAGTGAGGGAGCCACTTGGCTCACCTTTCCTACAGAGGCTGAGCATCCTGCCTCTAACATTCTCCATCCCTGCCCCCTCGGGAAAAGAAACTGAGATCAAGGGTATATCTCAGGGGTGGGCAAACTTTTTGGCCCGAGGGCCACATCGGGGTTGTGCAACTGTATGGAGGGCCGGGTAGGGAAGGCTGTGCCTCCCCAAACAGCCTGCCTCCGCCCCCTCCCACTTCCTGCCCCCTGACTGTCCCCCTCAGAACCCTCAACCCATCCAACCCTCCCTGCTCCTTGTCCCCTGACCACCCCCTCCCGGGACCCTTGCCCCCTATCTAACCCCCTGCTCCTTGTTCCCTGACTGCCCTGACCCCTATCCACACCCCCGCTCCCTGACAGCCCCCCTGGGACTCCCACCCCCTATCCAACCACCCTCTGCTCCTCATCCCCTGGCCACTCCCACCTGGGACCCTCCGCCCCGAACTGCTCCCTGGGATCCCACCCCCTTATCGAACCCCCCCTGCTCCCCGTCCCCTGACTGCCCTCCCAACCCCTATCCACATCCCCACCCCCTGACAGGCCCCCCAGGACTCCCACTCCCAACCCTCCCTGTTCCCCATCCCCTGACCGCCCCCCCAGAACCTCCACCGCATCCAACCACCTCCTCCTCCCTGACTGCCCCCCAGGATGCCCCGCTCCCCGCCCCCTTACCAGCAGCAGGAGCTTGCAGCCGCGACACCCGGCCACAGCCAGCTGCACTCCCTATGCTGCCCAGCGGGAGCGGCGGGCCAGAGCGCAGCCCGCACAGCAACGTGGCTGCGGGAGAAGGCGGACAGCGGGGGAGGGGCTGGGGACTAGGCTCCCTGACCGGGAGCTCAGGGGCCAGGCAGGACGGTCCTGCGAGCCGGATGTGGCCCACGGGCCGTAGTTTGCCCATGTCTGGTATATCTTCATTACCCGCTGGATCGGCGGGCAGCAATCAATCCAGTGGGGATCCATTTATCGCGTCTAGTCTAGATGCGATAAATGGACCCCCGAGCGCTCTCCCGTCGACTCCTGTACTCCAGCTCGGCAAGAGGCACAGGCAGAGTCGACGGGGGAGCAGCAGCAGTTGACTCACCGCGGTGAAAAGTCAATCTAAGTACATCGACTTCAGCTACGTTATTCATGTAACTGAAGTTGCGTAATTTAGATCGATCCCCCCCTCCCCTCCTCCCCCCCCAGTGTAGACCAGGGCTAAGACTAATAGTCATAAGCTGCACAGACTTCTGTTCTTGGAGACAAATCTTGCCTCCTCCTTTGTGGATTCAGGGGACTGCCTTGTAATGCATCATGTGTAGTTTCACTGTGCAAGAGGAGGAGTCTGAGGTCCTGCATAGTGGGGTCTGAGCCCTCTTTGCGCTGTAAGGATTTAGGAAAGGATCCAGTGGCTATTTGACCCCCACTTCACATGACTGGAACAGTTGCCACAAAGTGACTTCAGGTGATTATTTCCTTTGTCCTCCATGGATGTCCCCACTGTTTAGTCTGCTGTGAGAGGCTTTGACCTTTGAGATGAATCTAATGAAATTCTAGGTGGCGTGAAAGCCCACAAAGAGGCATTGGACATTACAGACATTTCAGAAATTCTGGCTGGCATCTTCTTGTTTAAAGCAGTTAACTGTTTCAGTGAAAGAGAGTGGCCTGTTAAAACTACAATCGACTTGTCTACAGCAATAGCAGCAGTGCCCTTTGGAGTCCAAATTTCACATACTTCATGGATGTGAAATCCTAAGTGTCAGCAAGAAAAGATATCTAGGTCCTCACTCCAGATATGTTTGCACAGTTATACGTGGCCTGATTCTGATCTCAGTGTAACCAGTGTCAGTCCCTGAAGTCAGTGGAGGTTGGGAAAAAGGGAGTGAGAAGAGAATCAGGCCCTGAATTCTGAAAATTCAGCATAAAGCTGGTATGAAGGAGACCATGCCAATGGAGTCCTGTTAACCAAAATGAGTCTGATTCTCTGTTCACTGTCACTAGTGTAAATCAGGAATAACTTTACAAACAGGACAATTACATGAGTGTGAGAGAAAACACAGGGCCCCTATCATTTTGAACTAAAATAGATGATGCTTATATATATATAATTTCATAATAAGAACACTATGAGAATAAGAATTATATATAATTTCATAATGAGAACACTATGTAATGATGTATAGGCCTATCATTAAGGCCCAGTCCAGCAAAACACATAAACATTCATAATATTAAATTTATAAGATGTCAATGAGACTATCATGGGCTTAAAATTATGCACATGCTTAAGTGCTCTTCAGGATCAGGGCCACAGGGTCAGTATTATCCTTTTATTCTGTGCACGAAACTAACACTGAAATAATAGTTTTGTGCAACTATCCATGGTAGATAGTAGCTATTGATTCTCGTGTATAGCTTTCTAGAGATTCATTATAGCTATTCACTTGTCTCTGCCTCTTTTGGTTGGTCAGTGTGTTTGTTTTTCTCCTCTAGTTTGCATTTGCATGTGGTAAAAATTTAATAACTTTTAAAAAGCTAATTTTAGATCCACACAGGGCTAGAAATTAAATTGTGGAAACTGAAGATTTTTCTTGTTGTTGTTGTTGTTTTTTATCAAAAACTGGAGATAATTTGTAGTTTCCACTGGGAAAAAAACTGAGCTGTATTCATGAAAGAATTATGATGGGTTTCTTCTCTGGTCGTTTCAAGCCATGCTGCAGGTGTGATAGAAGCCTTTACCATACACTAAATAAAAACACATTGCTCCTTCTCTCTAAGGCAGTTTTTGGGAGCCAAGAATTGGGCATGACCTACAAAGGAAGTTTTTATTATATACTTCAAGTAAGATGGGATGCCAAGTTCAGTACAGTTCTGTCCAAGGCCAAGATATCAGGCACCCAGATGCAACAATGATGGTCATCTCAGAGATAGACAGCATAGAGGTACACGTATACCACTATGCCTTAAAAAGAAGGAGTCCTGTCATCATAGATCCCTGATGGTGGTGTCCATTGTAAAGAAAGTTAAAAGAATTGTTTTTTACACACTGTAACTGATTTATTTAAAAAGCAAAAGTACTTAGTTAAATACACTCGAGATGCAGTGAAATTATCTAGGGACTCACTGTGTCTATTTGGTTTTTTTCCAGCCTGAACGAACGTGATCATTTGTTAAAAAGGCTCGGCAGAAAAACTCCTCCGAGCCTTTTCCGAGCTCATTCTGTCCAGCAAGGTGTACCACGTAAGTAACTGATCAGATGTGTGTCTCTCAGCAGTCAGTCCCAGATGAATGGAGGGGAAGATGATTATTTTTTAAATTAAATTGTAGATAGAGATAATCTGGTACAGAGGCTGAGCTGCCAACCAAGAGTCAGAAATTTGGAAGGGGAATTAGTGTATTTGGCCCCAGGCTTGTAGAACTTGCATGTAGATAATTCCCTAGGACCCAATCAAGTGTCCCAATGACAAAATCCCAGTGCAGAAATTCCATAACTTTAAAATCCTGATATTCTCAAGATCTTGTAAAATTTGACAGGACCAAAAAAAAAAAATGTTGAAATAGAGCTCTGCTTTAAATGGTGACTGTGTTTTCAAATGATAGCTATTAACTATGGTTTTAAAAATACAGAAATAGCTCAGTGGTGCCATTTGAGAAAAGTTCTAAATGTTTTTAATAAGCAGGTGGAGGTCCCTGTAGCTGCCATTTGTGTATTCCTCTTCTTGGCCTCTTCTGGGGAAGTTAAGGGCAACCCTAGACCTGCCTGCTGCTGCTAAAGGAAAGGAACAGTATCTCTCACACTGCATCTGAGCTCATCAGTTTATCCTACGGCATAGGTCCATGAGACAGGCCCAGTGTCTTTGGCATCTCTACTTGCTACTTCTGGATTTTCATCAGGGCTTCCCCAGCATTAAAATAGAACTCCACAGACCAGAACCCCCAGGGAGCCATGAGCCAATAAGAGTTAAGAGAAAAATGTTGACTTGCTACTGGGGTGGATTGTCTTTTGCAGTCAGATTTTTGACCAATAACATTTTCACCTTACTAAGGGAAATAGCCCCATCAACAGCAATGGTGCTGGTTGCAGGATAGCGCTAAGACAAACACATTTGACTCCAAATCATCCATTTAACATGAGAGTTTTTGAAGGTGAGATCTGTATCATGTCAGGATTTCAGCAGGTGGGGTACAGCCAAATTTCATCTCTTCTCTGTGACCATTTCTTCAGCAGAATCATAACTGCTCAGAAGGCCCTGACCCAGAAGAACTGGGGTGTTTCTGCTGCAGAAATAGGGTAGGATTTAAGAATCTCATACATGGGGTGCAGAGATCCCCTGCAGATCCTCAGGGGTGATTCAGAGCAGGACAGGAGCAAGGCTGGTAGATCCATTACTGTTCAGATCCACTGGGTCATTCTCCTCCACAGAAGGGAGAGTGCACTGGCTCCAGGGGCTAGAGCAGTCTTGAGAGTGCAGTAACTTCTGCAGACCAGCTCCACTGCCATTGTAAGGTCTGGAAGGAAGGGATTCATTTTCTCCTTCACCCCCACAGAGAAGCTCAGCTTGGCTGTGCTCTGCTTCCAAGATTTGTTCCTTTGTGTCCGGAGGTAAAGGGTGCTGGTTTTATCTCTCTTTCACGCACCTATGGAGACTCTTTGAAGCAATTCCATAGGAGATGACTGGCAGAACAAGCCTGTAAAAAAGAATCAGGGAAACCTATGAACCAGTCTGCAGACCGTGCAGAAAACCAGCATGCTTGTGTTACCCGTCAGATCTGAACCACATGCTCACAATTTGTAGAATGCATCTTTGTGTTTTTAATTGGCTGATAAGCTTTGGGAAACAAGAATAAGATATCAAAATAAACTTTGATTCAGTTAACCGGCTCCCCCTAAATACAAATGATTAAGTGCTAAATGAGTCAGTCCAGTCAGGACAAGTTCCAATCACATGTCTGTTTTTCACATGAATGTAAATTTTCATTGTGAAGTTGTTAAGACTAAAAGAGGCTTTTATAGCAGATCCATGATTCTCTAAAACTTCTGTCATCCCTTGTCAAACATTGTTTTCAAACATTGCACAGCTGCTATATGTGCAGGGCCATATGAACATATGTGCTGGTTTCACAGACCTAAATTGTACAAATGTTGTATAAATAGTGAAAATTGTCAAAACAAGCAGCTGGCAGCTAAGGCATTGGTTTTGTCATGGTAGATATGTATTTTGAATCACACCCTACTGGCTCTCTAGAGTCATTGTGATTCCACTGGGCTTCCAAGTTCCCACCCAAAGAGTTCAGCCTATCCCAAAACTTGATCATGTGACTTCAGTTCAGGCCGGGACACTTGAATTTAACACATCAAAGATCATTCATTTTGTTCTGGTTGACAAGGCTGAGACAAACCCATTGCCCTGTTAATGGGAGGGGGAGAATAAGGGCAGTTTACCATCAGAAGTTGTAAAATAACCCAGAATCAATACTGTAGCTTGGGGGGAAGGGTGGGGCAAAAACTGTTCAAAGATTCGCTGCTATAAAATTGCATTAAAAACCTTTGATCTCAAAGCATATGGGAATGACATTAGTTCTAGGACAACACACACAAAAACAATGGATTTGGGGCTACTTCTAATGGCCTCGGGGATCGGGGGAGGAAGCTTGGAAATTTTAGCCCCTAAAACCATTTAAATTTGTTTATGGCCATGGTTTTGTGTTCATGAATTGAGAGCGTCAGATGAAATGCCAGAAATGTTCTATAGTTTAACTGTGCTCTCAAGGTTCACATCGTTCTTTTCTGACTGACGTGGCTTTCTGAAAGATTTATGAAAATGAACAAAGATTTTCCACTGACCTTCAGATTTTGATGCAAATGCCAGTTAGGATTTCATTTATCCTGTGGCTTTTAGTAGAAGAGCTTTGTGCCTTTTGTCAAGCTTACGTGCTGAACATTTCTGCAGCCCAAAAAGTTTTAATGGAAATGAGTAGATGGTGCAGTGATTACGGCATTAGCCTCTAGGAGCTGGTACAGTTCCTGTCTGAGACACCTGTATGAAATCAGTGCTGGTTAGCTCAGCATAACGTCTGCGGATAGATTTCCCATTCCCATCTGCTTTCTAAAATCCCAGCAATAGGAAAAGCATCAAGTCCCCCTAATTAAGAGGGGAGATTGGCCCACAAGTGGGAATAGTTCTCAGAGAGAGCAGGAAATGCTGCAAGGTTCCCCTCACAGATGTTGCTTATCATCATTCCCTCGAGTGTGTGTAGGGGGATTTGCTTTTCCATGGAAGGAGAAGTAGTTTGGCTCCTAAAACTCATGGATACCAGGTAATTTGCTGGTAACAGGGCTTTTGCCATGAGGCTCCTGAACCTCCACCCACTCTGGCCCCTGCCTCCTCTGCCCTCTTCTTACCCCATGATGGCACAGCTCTCTTGTTGCTTTGACAACAGTGTGGAGGACTTCTCTCCTGGCCAGTTACCCAAGAACTCATGGAGGCCCAACATCTGCAAAAAGCAGCTCTCCTCCCCAATTCCAGGCTACTCCCCTCCCCGGCCTGGATCCCCAACTCCCTCAGAATCCCCATGAAAAAGGTTTCTAGAGACAAAAAGGAGAACAGTGTTACCAAGATGGCATTCCCCACATGCTCCGGGAATCCACTGAACAATTGTCCCCTCAGCCCCTGGATGCAACCTGGATTATTCCATATGATCCCACACGTATAGTGGCTGGCATAATTCAAAACACTCCTTGTCTGCCTCCTGTCAGCATTGGGCTGTCATTTGACCTAGCTAGCACGTACTTAAAAACAGCGGGCTGAATCCTGCGCTCCTTAATCCTCCCCCCCGCAGAACTCCCGCTGAAATCCAGAGGAGCTGTGCCTGACTAGGGATTATAGAATTTGGCCCAGATTTCCTATGCTGGCAGAGGAAATCACCCCTTCCTTTGACAGTGTAAGGTAACTGCACTGAGTAAGTCTTAACACAGAGAGTACATTTTACACCTTGTTAATCAATAGAGAAACAGCATCTGTCATTTCAAGTTGGTTTCACAGCATGGGGGTTGGAGAATAATAAATAATAATAATGTGTTCATGCTGAAGGCTCTAATCCTGCCATTTATTGTGTCCTAAGAGAGGCTGCCTCCCTACTACTTTCCTCTTGGTGCATGTTGATCTGAAAAACTATCAGGTTACTTCGTGGGATTTTTTTATTGTTATTAATCCATTACCTTCTTTCTTTGGGTATCAAGGCTCCAGCACTTTTTCTGGCCAAATTCCATACAGCAAATATAGCTGTAGTGATATTAGTTGAATATGAAGATGTTGGGATCTGTTAACATTTACTTAAAAAGAAAAGGAATAGCAAGAAGAAGATGGGCTTAATGATGTTAGATCCGGTCCCATGTTTCCTGAATGTGAATAGTTTGGTTTCTAGAGAAACCAAACAAAACCTGAACGTTCGTCATACTTTTTCCTCTTGGGTCATTTTTTAAATATTATTTGTCAGCACTGGGCAAATGAGTGGGTCTTTTAGCATGTGTTAATTAAAATGCACTAGTTAACATGATATAACACTACTCATTTTCCCAGTGTAGACAAACCCAAAGAGTTGTGTGAAGTTTGTCCATTGACAAGACATTACTGGTGTTTAATGGTAATTGGAGATAGACTTCCCCACATTCTCTGAAGGTCTGCACTATTGGGGTATGTCGGACCAAGGCATGGAAGCAAGTTCCAGAGTTAATAAGTTTCTGCTGAGAGCTGCTGTGCCCCCAGCCATCAGCCAAACAAATCCATGAACTCTCAGCACAAACATCCTTTCCCAATGGACCTGAGCTCAACTGTCAAATAAGAGAGCGTGAGGAGAGATGATCGCTAAAGAATATCCCTTAAATACGTAACAATCTGCATGAATAAACAGATTGTTCAGGACATCCTCAGGCTCGGATTCTGCAAGCTGCAGTATGTGGGTGGACCCCTATGTCCAGGTGTGCAGGTTTGGGGCCTATATGTGGACTACAGTTCTTTATGTCTCTAATACAGCGCTGTATAGAACAAAATAATCAGCTGAGTATACTGAAAAAGGTACTGTTCAACTAGAAACCTAGTAATGGGAGACGAGATTCAAATCTCCTCGCAGCAGAACGTGAAAGGTAACAAACTAGATGCGTTTAAAATTCAGTAGGTAGCCTGATAATATCTGGAATCTGTGAAACCTTATATTTGATTAGAATGTGACCCCCTCTTCCT